CCAGTAGTCTTCTCTCTCTCCACTTCCTCCTGTTGGCTCATGGTTACCTACTCCTAGTTTTTACTGGCCTCTGGGCTTTTCTGTGGTCTTGCCCTGAGCACCCCTACCCACTTGGCCCCCACTCTCCTGCCCAGCTCTGACTCCTTTGGCTGCCGACTTGGCTATGGCCTCCCCTAGGAAGCCTTCCCTGACCTCCTGGCATCGCCCTGGCCTGAGTGTACAGTCATCATCCCCACTAGGTTGCGGGCTCAGCAACAGCAGGGTGGGCCTGGCTTGTCTCCTGCCATTCCCTAGTGCCCAGTGTGTCTGTTGAATTAATGGGGTTGGGGCTGGGGGGGGATCCTTGCTGCCCCTTACCCTTCCCCAACTCCGTAGATCAGCGCGGCCCCTGCACAGCCTCAGCGTGCTGGCCTTCGATCAAGAGCGTCTGGAGCGGAAGGTGGGTGCCTGCTGTGGTGGGCTCGGTGGGGCAGGGTTGGGGGTTCCGTAGGCCCCGGGCAGGGCCATCACAGTGCCCCGCTTGGCACCCCCAGATCCTGGCCCTCAGGCAGGCGCGGCGGCCAGTGCCCCCGGAAGTGGCCCAGCAGTACCAGGACATCATCCAGCGCAGCCAGTGGCAGAGGGCGCGGCTGGAGCAGGGGGGCCCAGGCCTCCGGAGGGGTAGGGTCTCGCGGAGGGTGTGTGGGGGCGGGCGGGGCGGCCGACCCCATCCTGACCCGGTCCCCCCATCAGAGTACGCGGCCCAGCTGGAGCGTCAGCTGCAGTTCTACACCGAGGCCGCCCGGCGCCTGGGCAATGATGGGAGCAGGGTGAGCCGGGCGAGGGCCGGGGGGGCGGGGGGGGGGCCCGGCGGCGACAGCGGCCCACTGACCACCTCTTGGCCCCCAGGAGGCCGCAAAGGAGGCACTCTACAGGCGGAACCTGGTAGAGAGTGAGGTGAGTGGCCAGGGTATGGGGTTGGGGGGGGGGCTGTGGCCTTGAGCACCCCCCTGACTCCCGTGGCCTCCCCCTCAGCTGCAGCGGCTCCGCAGGTGAGGGGCCAACCCGGCGGGCGGCCCGGCCCCTGGAGAGTGGGGAGCAGGCCCAAGGCCACAGCCAAGGACCAGACAAGCAGACAATCAGCGGACAGTCGGCTCCAGATGGACACATTCCCCCACTGGGTCCCCCCAACCAGGCCACAGCCTCCCTGGCAGGGGGCAATGGGGATAGTACTGCCAGCCGGCTTGTGCCCCTTGCCCAGGCCTGGCTGGGTGGGCCCTGGACAGTCCCGTTTGCACAGCCTGGGGTGCCGGGCCCCTGGCCTGCCCTGGAGGTGGGGGGGCAGCTAGGACCAAGCCCCGAGGGCCCCTGCAAGCACTTTACTTCCTGTCCCTCCCCAGCCTTAACCCTGAAGCCCACCACACCCCAAAGAAGTCGCTGAGGTCGGCCAGAGCCCCGCTGGCTCCCCAGGGCTGACACAGGGAATAAACAGCCAGGGCCACGCCTGGCTCACTCTGTCCTGTCTTTGTTTCTTGCTCCCACCCTCTGTGACTAGCTGGGTCTCCCCCCACAGTCCCTCCGGGGGTTGATGGCAAGGTGTCTGCAAGAGGGGCAGGCTCTGGGGGGGCATGTGCCTCTGAAGGATGTGTCTGCTTTGCACACTTGCTGCCGGGGTACGTGGGAGGGTCCGTGGCCCGCTTCGGGGTGTCCGCCGTGCCCTGTGTTTCTGTACCTGGTGGCCTTGGCGTATCTGGGTTGACACGCGTGGTCAGGCATTACGCGGCGGTTCCTGGCGACCCGCGAGTGTCTCGGGGCTTTGAGAGCCAGCCCTGCTGCACACTGGCTATGGGACCAAGTCGCCTGACCCTCTCAGCCTCCCACGGCCTCACCTTCCTCAGCTGGTTGCAGGGATGGTGAGAGCACCTCCTGCGAGGTGAAGGGCAGCTGGCGGGTGGCGAGCACTCGGAAGGCTTAGGCTTTATTGTTGCTGTCTCCACCTGCGCGGGGGTGGGGCGTGTGCCTGGTGTGCGAGCTGCCCGCTTCGGCCTCCCCCAGGGCGCCCTGTGTGTGGAGGCGGTGCCCTTGCCAGCCTCCTGGCCGACACAGGTCAGGCGGCCCAGCCCTCAAGGCCTGAGAAAGCCTGGTCGAGGCCCCCGGTGCCCACTGTCTCCTCAGTCCATGGCCCAGTGGAGCCCCAGAGGTCTGGGCTGCGCTGCTGGGCCCCTCCGGGCTCAGGGGCCCCCCGCTCGTGGCTGACGTGGAGCTGTGGGTGGTAGCCGGACCAGGACCTGCTCGGGGTTCCCCGCCGTATCCACCACACTCAGGTGCAGGAGGCCCAGGAAGGCTTCAGGCGCGATGCTGGTCATGTGAAGCCTGTTTGCGCTGGACCAAGAGGCGGGCATGAGAGTGGGTGCCAAGGGAGGGGGCCACAACTGTCCTGACCCACCCAGGCCTGCTCGGGTTCCACCACAGCCCTCCAGGGGCGCCGACCCCCGCCCACCTGGACCCGCTCTACCCGGCCGCCCTGGGGCACCTAAGGAAGAGGGCGCGCAGGCGGGGTGTGCTGAGGAAGGCTTCGGAGCCCACGTGGCTGATGCGGTTGCCCTGCAGGTGCAGTTCCTCCAGAGCCTCGGGCAGGTCGGGGGGCACGAAGGACAGCTCGTTGTGGCTGAGGTCCAGCACCTGGCCAGAAGGGCAGAGACGGTGCCGTGGTGGCCCCAGGCTTGAGCCATCCACTCAGCCAGGCCCCAGCCTCTCTTCGGGGGCACGCCACACCCGGGCCTTCTGCCCCTCCCCCTGCCAGAGGTACACTGAGTCCCGTCTGGGGCAGGCCATGACGTAGGCGCTGGGATGCCAGACAGACGGATGGATTCAGTCAGTCATTCACAAAGAGGGTGCTTCCCTCCCCTCGTGCCCTCCCGACCCTGTTTACTTCGGATCGTGGTCGACTGCTCTCTCCCTAACTAGCATGTCTGTGCCGGGCCAGGAGCTGTCATTTTGTGCCCAGTGGCATCTGCAGTTCCCAGAACGGCGCCTGGCCCCCACAGATGCTCTAACCTCTGCGGAATCCAGGGTGTTCAGAAGGAGCTAGAGGCGCCGTGTTTGCTGGGGGAGGTGGGCGGGGTGGTTGCCGAGGCCCAGGGGGCAGGGACGGCACAGCCAAAGGCCCGGAGGCCGCATCTGTCGCGTCCACCCCCAGCCCGCAGGCTGGGCTCTCTGTGTGGCATCTCAGGGCCTCGCGGGGAGCTGCTGAGGGGCGGTGGGGACAGTGCGGCCAAGCAGCCCGCTCCTGACCTGGAGGGCCTGTAGCTCGTGCCAGGTGCCGGGCCCGATGTCTCCAATCCGGAGTCGGTTGTGCTCCAGGCTGAGCTCCCGCAGCTGGTCCAGGCCGGCCAGCAGCTCAGGCTCGAGGGCCCGCAGCCGGTTGCGCTGTAGCCGCAGGGTGTGCAGGCTGCGGGGCAGGCCGCCGGGCACCCGGGTCAGCTGGTTGCCAGCCAGGTCAAGGCTGCGCAGGGCGCGCAGCGGGCGGAAGGCCCGGCCGTGCACTCGGGCGCTGACCAGGCGGTTGTAGGCCAGGTTGAGCTCGGCCAGGCCCGGCGTGCCGGCCAGGTCGCGGGCGCCCAGTG